TCTCGGCACCTCCCTGGAGGAGTCCTTTGCTCCTGTGGCTTCAGGCGTCACTTCTGTGCAGGTGACTTTAGTGACCACGCAGCCCACCCGCTTCTCTGGAACTCCACTGTGCATGTGGCACCATGTTCTACTAGGTGTCAGACTGTCACTTCCAGACCCACCTCTCCTCCCAGCTGAGCCAGCCTCACGCCCCATCAGCTGTGCTGTGTCATCTGTTTTCCAGGCACCTGGGGCGGATCTTCAGCGTCAACCTCCCTCCTTCCCACCCTTGCCTCCTGAGCAGCAGCTACAGTAGGTCCTGCCGCTGTCCCCCCTGTGGAGTGTGCACAGGGGGTGTCTTCTCTTCCCATCTCTTCCCCCCACCTTCCCTCGACGTGATCTGAAGGTTGTCCTGGCTGGTCTCCTCTACTCAGAGTTCTCATTCAGTTCATCTCACACATCACTGTCAGATGACTAGTGCAAAAATACTGCTTAAAAGGGTTAAACTTCCTTTTTTTTTTTTTTTTTTTGACTCCTAACCAGCTAGAAGATTACAGCCTGGCCCTATCTATGCACCAACTTTATTTTTTACTGCTCCTTTTGCTAAAATACACGCCCACATGGATGAGGCCGTGCACTGATACGTACGGATGCCTGACGCCTCTCACCCTGAGGATTTCCCCCACACTTCTCTACCACCTGAAATGGGGTGCCTTCCCTGAGCAGCCAGATCCTAAGTGTCATCTGACATGGGAGACAGTCGGCAAAGACTTCTCTGGCTCATCCAGACCATAACAATTTGTCTTTCTCGGACAAATGCTTCTAGAGCTTTCTCTATCTTTCGCTTTGTCATTCCTACTCATTGCCATGCTTTTTTAGTTTTCATTTCATGAACATTTTGTTTTTCCTATTAGATTGTAGATATTTTGAACATAGACATTATGTCTTAACTCGTCAACCACAATGACTATTGAGATTCTAAAGAAAACATTTCTCTAGTTTATTCAAGGCCAGCAGTTATATTTGGCATAACAACAACAAAAGAAATCTCATTGTCATTTCCATGGAAATAGAGATTTATTAAATAGAGGAATGTGTAAAATGCCGTAGGTTGTTAGCACTTAAATGTATAGACTACATGGAGCCATTGAAGGAATCATAAAACATCTGCATGGAATTTTTTGGAAAATGGATTTGTTTTATATTAATAAAATTATTGAATTTCAATGCATGATTATTTATCTTTTGGCATATATAGATTCCTCCAATATTCCAAAAAGAGCATATCTCTTGAATTGGATAACATATATGCAAGTGTTTTGTGAACTTAGGGCACTGTAAACAGACAAAAAGTTATCATTATTAATATTGAATTTCCTAACATTAAGCAATAATCTAAGAGAGAAGAATAGAGTGAATGATCATATAATGTCATTCAGATAGCAAGGGCTAATCTTTGCTGGAGAAGTAGACAATTCTGTGTTCTCACTCTCTCTGCCCCCCGCCCCCGCCCCAGTTCTGCCCTCTGGGAAAGAGAAATGTTGCCAAGAAGCGTGATTTGTGTGAGAGCAGCGTGTTTGCTATCACGGTCCCCTTGCGTGTCGAGGGCAGGCTGAAGCGCCTTTCCATTGCCTGTTGGCAGCGCTCCCTTCAGTGGTGTGTTTGGGGAACTTAGCTGAGTATTGCTTTAAATTGATGAAATAAATTGTTGGAGACCACTCTATTTTTTATTCACTGTTGAAAAAGTTGAAGTTAGTTGTTTGCTTAATACTCCAAGCTGATGAGGCATTTCATTATCTTACCACTAATACACTCTAGAAAATGGAATCATTAGAGAACAGAAGTCATTGAAATGTAAACATGTGAATAATTTACACTTGCAACTGGTGTTAAATAAAAGGTTTTAATCTAGACAGAGATCTGACAATAAATATTCATTTCTAATTTCCAATGAGTAAACTTTATCTCTTTTTAAAGGCCTTTTCATTTGATTTTTTTTTTTTTCCTGGAAGATAATGGCAAATTTGACATGGGCACATTTGGGAATAAAATTTCCCTCTGGTCAACACAACCATGAAGAGTTATTATGAAAATCAAAATTTGAAATAATTGCAAACATTGTAATTAGTAGCCATTTTAGGATTCTTATGTACTATTACCCACATGGCTTACCTTCCTGGTGCAGTTTTCCCGGGGGACGTGAGAGAGAAGCAGAGGAAAGGAATTGCCTCTCAACTTGGACAATTTGCTGGATGCTTGCCAGGCCGGATAGAGGCCCGCCCCAGGGACACCGGTTGGCTTTTATTTTACCAGTGAGTGTTCACGGGGGCCTTGACATAGAGGAAGAGAGTGTGACTTAAAAAGAAATGTTTGAGAGATACCAGTTTGCTGCCGAGTTGGGGGCACTGCTGCCCTTCCAAGGGTGTGGGGCCACAGCTGTCCCCAACGGGACGCGTCCTTCTCCACCAGGTGACACCTGCCACTCTGTCTCGATTGCCCTTCTGGAGGCATCTCAGAGCAAGGCCCGCTGCTCGCTCTGTGCTTTTTTAGAAATGGCTTTCTTGAGCTATGCTTTATATATCGTAAAATTCACCCTTTCAAAATGTACAGTTATTTATTAGCATGTTTATGGAGTTGTGCAACCATGGCCACATCTAATTTTAGAGCATTCCCATCGCCTCAAAAAGAAACCTTGTGGCCATTTGCAGTCTGCCCGCCTTCGCCAATTCTGTTTATTTTTATAACCACTGGCTGGCATGATGCCTTGGTGGTGGTTTGCACTCAGTACTCAGTGTGTAATTGTCAGACGAATGAATTTGAATATGTGAAATCCCATTATGGATTTTAGAGGCTTATGGAATGTCAGAGCTTAAATGAACCATGGGTGTTCATCTAGTCTAACTTTTTACTTTATAGTTGAGGAGACTAACTAGCTATGCACCACATGGTTAATGAGAGTTGAGAGAGACGGTATTCAAGGTTAGAAGATCATGGTTTCTCAAGGAGGCACAGGTTCTAACAAAGATAGTTTGAGTTGCTTCAGGATTCAAGATGAACCCTTAAAGCCAAACCCTGAAGCTGATTTATTGACAAATGTTATAGTAGGTGTTGTCCATATGGTTTAAGTGACTGCCATGGTTCCTCCCCACAGAGGCAAAGCTGTGCCTTGGGTGATTTGGGGTGTCCCTGCATGACTTTGTGTTCACTGCTGGACATAAGGCTAGGGTCCATTGTGCTGTCTTGTCTCCTCTCCTATCCTCTGCTCCTGATTCTTGGTAGCCCCTCAATGCTGTTTTCTTCTTTCATTCTAGAGTTAGCTTCCTGGCTGCCTGGGGACAGTCCCTTCTTAGGCCACCCTCCAAATCCATGGAGACAGGCCTCCAGGGTCACAACTTCCATGCCTCTCTAGCATTCCCCGGACAGGCTGCTGCTTATATTGGATACAGGAGAGCCACACATATCTTCTCTGGATCTTTTCTGTTAGAGCAGATGCTAGTTGCTCATGTGGTCCAAAGTGTGTTTTCATTACTTGATTCAGAGAATTTTTACAATCAAAGCTATGCAGACTGAGTTTTCCAAAGAATTTCTTTTTCTGATATGCAAACTTTTGTTCATATTCCAACACCAGATTATAAACAGATACAATTTCTCAGAACATCTCCAAAGGGGCCATTTACAAGATCTCACTCAAAGAGCAGTGTGTTATTACAAAGAATTATGCCATTTTCAAAGTTATTTCAGACCAGTGGATTAAATCCTCACATAATTCTCCTGATTAAATCATGCTGATTAAATCAATTGTGATTTACCTGAAGATTATGAATGTGAACCATAAAATAAAGATCTTTTGATTTAAAAATCGATCATTAAAATCATATTTTATAAATTCCCCGTTGATAGCTCATTTCAATAAATAACATGTTTGATCTTCATCTTTGTGCTAAAAATCTATTTTATCTTTTTTTCAGCCAAGGAAATATATAATAAAAGTGTGTTGATCCTAAATAAATATAAAAAATCAATTGTAATCTTACATATCAGCCAGAATCAGCATAATTAGGGGAAAAGAAATTCCTTTCACAAAAACAACATAAAATATAAAGTACCTAGGAAAAATATTAGGAAGAACAACACAGAGCGACTGTTTTGGATGGATAAACTAAATTAGGTGATTGTTATATGTAAGTTTTCTGTATTTTCTTACACAAATTGTGGACTATTCAAAAAATTTTAGAGCCTAGCCTGTTTGTCCACATTTAAAAATCTATCAGACGGTGGCATTGGGAGTCAGGGACTCTGTGTGGTTTTTTTAATCTCCTCAAGATGCTTCTTAAAACCTAAATAAACAAAAGGAGGGAGGACAGGAGAAGAAAACTACAGACAACAAAAAGTAGATGGCAGGGAAACCCCAAAATATGGGTGGGTGTGGCCAAACCACCCTCGGCAAAGGCAGAGACCGACTGCTAGGCTGGGGTGCAGACAGGGGTGAAGCACTGTCCTCCTGCCCTGTGGTATGTGGAAATGGTACCTCCCAAATGGAGAGGGGTTCACTCTCTTGGCAATTATTAAGCCAGTAGACACTGCGAAGCTGGTTACAACCAGGGGCTTTTAAGACTGGGCACAGTGAGAAGCGCACCGGGGCCAGTTCCAAAAGCAGTGCGTCCCCGAATGAGGCGGTTGGGCTGGTCTTATGGTCAGGGGGGCACTAGGTGAGATCCTTTTATGGTCAGAGGATCACCAGGTGAGACCCGACTGGACTGTGGAGGCAACGCCAGGCCCTACCGGATTGGATCCCGGAGGTCCTGCCACATGGGTTCGCTTCTTAATCCGGTCCCTGCGCCTCAGCCCGAGCACTTGGGTTCCGCCCGTGGAGGAGGCCCGCCTGGTCCGTCTGGGCATGCTCAGGTCATGTGACCTGTGACCTGGGGCCCGTGGCAACCGGAAGACAGCCCAGAACTCTTGTGACGTCCCAGTTGATCTGGATTGGCCTGACGCGATTACTGACGCTGGAAACCGTCCCTAAGGTGAGCGGCTCGTCCTGAAGTGCGGATGTAGCCACCATGGCGGCCAGTCAGAGGCGGGACCCGGCATTTCCGGCGAGTTGAGAAATGGCGGCGCACGTGGACACGGCAGCCCCGGAGACCCGTTCGTGGGGATGGCCTCGCTCTGAGGGGACTGTCGGAGTCAGACGCCAAGGTATGTGGGCGGCACAGCCGGGCCTGGAGGGAGGGCCGGGAGGGAGCCTTTTCCGGGGAGCTGTGGCGGCCAAGCCCGAGCCTCCAGGTGAGAGCCCTGTGTGGAAAGTGAGGCCCGCAGCGCTGTAGGAGCCCGGGACTGAAGCACAGGCATCCCTAGCCCAGGCCCGAGACAGAGCAGCGGCTACACAGTTGCCACGTTTTGACCATTCACAGTACCGTGTTTCCCCGAAAATAAGAGCTCCCCATAAGATAAGCCCTAGCAGGATTTCTAAGCATTTGTGCAACGGAAGCCCCACCCCGAAAATAAGCCCTAGTTGCGGGGGTGGCTACGCAGAGTATCTGCACAACCCACGGATTTTGTTGGGGAGCAGTAAAGATGATGAGCAGTCCTTGTCATCTGCCTCGTGAGAGCTGTATTGCTCGGCATGGGAGTTTGGTGCCAATGGTTCTAAAGGAAATAGAGCCTCAAGACATTCAGGATGGAAGGCGGGGTTTGGAGAGTGATGACGATGTTCCAGAAGAAGACGACTTAACTATATTTGAATAAATGTAGATTGTTGTGCCATACTTAAAAAAAAAATAACACATCCCCTGGAAATAAGCCCTAGGATGTCTTTTTGAGGAAAAATAAATATAAGACCCTGCCTTATTTTCGGGGAAACACGGTAACAGCAGGGCTCTGAGTGTGGAAGGGCTACCTTGGCTCATTGGAATCCCATTCTGAGGAACCTGTTCCTAAAGGGCTAGAAAAACCCCATCCTATTTAAGCAATTTAAACGTAGGCGACCTAAAAGGAAAGTGATTAAATCCATGCAATATTTTTACAAGAGACAAAAAAAAAAAAATACATTATGACACAGAATGATGACACAACAGAAAAATATGACCACAGGAGTATAATTTTTAACATGCTGTTCAAAATTAGCTAAAGTGAATTACGATTATGACTGGAACTTTGAAAGAACAGCACAAAAAAGAATTATTAGATCTGAGAAATGAAAGGACAAAGGAGGGTAGAAGATTAAAAAAATGACAGATTTTGGGAAGGATTTAGAGGAAAAGAAGAAAATTTTCAGAAATAAAGAAGTAGTTGGAAGAAACAATAATGAATGTGACCATAGAAGGCTTAGAAGAAGGAAAGAGAAGAACAAAGACAAGCTAATGGAAATTGAAAAAGAGATTAAAAATATTTAAAAAGAACTGATAAATAAAGAAGACAGTCACAGGAGATCTAAAATACATTTACTTGAAGTTGCCACAGATAAAAACCGAGCAAGGGAACAGAACAAAAATGCAAATTATGATTTAATAAAACTTCCTGAGGTAAAAGAAGACTTTACATGTTGAAAAAGGCACTGCATACGTGAGCAAAGTGACCCAGAATGGAAAACCTCTAGCTATATCCTAGTAAATGCATTGAACTTCAATTCAAAAACAAGGAAACCATTCTTTGAAAATCTAGGCAAAACATCCCGAAAACTTATAAGGGAAAGAAAATGAGACTGACCTCAGTCTTCTCCATAGAAACATTTGTGTAAGAATGAAGCATTTTATAGATTATCAAGAAAAGAAAATGTGATTGAAGTATTTCATATCCAGCCCAACTTTCCTTCAGATATAAGTGTCATGTGTGAACTACAACGCACATGCCAGAACCCAAGGGCACGTGTTCCTGTGAGCCTTTCCCAGAGATTCCACTAGAGAATGAACTTCAGACAATTGGAAAATGGTTAGAAAAGCCTCAACATAAAGTGTTGGAGAAGCTATTGAATATATTTAACTGAGCACTAAGACCAAAAGGTGGGAATAAGGGTGACAAAATATTATGTGTTGATGTGTTGTATGCTCTGACACCATAGTGATGATATAGGAAAAAATGCAAGGACAAAGGGAAGAGCTAGAAGAAAGTAGAAAACCTCACTGATGGCCCCGTTAACTAAGAGTAAAATAATATCACGTGAAGCTGAGAATCAAGTATTGTAGGAGAATCTTATATCTATTAGGAGCATGAAGATTAGCACAAATACTAGTGTCTAATAATTAGGCTGTGGGGAAGAGGGACAGGGAAGAAATAAAGTTACTAGTTAATGTCTGTTTTCTTAATAGAGAGCCATTCTCAACCAGGATCCTGAAAGAGATTTACCAACACAAAAAGTTATTTGATTTTTTCTCTTCTTCCAAGGATGGTACTATGTATCACTTTTAGATGCTTAAGAGGTGTAATTTTGTTACCTAATAGATGCCTAATTCTCTTGCATCCCTAATTCTCTAAATCTGGGTCAAAATAACTGGCTTATCTAATGGAAGAGGAGACTAAGGCTATCATATGAAGATATTGGTAATAAGAGAAACACTAGAAGAAGAATATAAGCCTTCCTAAATACCAAAAATAAAAAACAGAATAGTAAAGAAAAAGACTCCACAGTGAAAGACTTTGTATATGCATGTGTCTGTATCATGCCATACACATATACCTACCTACATACTTATAAACGTGTGTCTATAATATTATGTGAAGCAATATGAAGGAACTGACACAAAACATATTCTCATATCATTAAATGTGGAAGGGTTTAACTCACTGATGAAAAGGTGTCTGATTGGCTAACAAAGCAAACATAACTCAGAGCTGTGTCCAAGCGATATGCCTACTGCAAAGTAAGAAAGATAAATAAATGGCTGGGTAAAGATACAAATACTAATAGAAAAAAAGCAGGTGTTGCAATTTTTATTATAGATAAGGTAGGACTCAGGCCAATAAGCATTACATGAGAAAAAGAGTGGACATTTTATAATCTAATGGCTACAATCCACCATGAAGATATAAAAATTATTGGTACCTATGCATTAGTTTATGCAGAAGCAAATTTAATATAATGGAAACCATAGGATAGGAAAACAGAAATAAACAGAGACACACTAGCATACTAGAAATAGGCCTATTTCTAGGATTATTTATGCCTCAGTCCTAGACAGATTGAGACAGCAAACAATTAGTATGGATAATACTAGTCTACCATATTAATTATGTAGAAGACCTAAACAATGTGGTGAATAAGGTAGACATTGATATATTTCAAATTCTATATCCCTATTACAGAGTGCATACTTTCTTTTCAAGTGCACATTCACAAGAAATGACCATATGTTAGGCCATAAAGAAAGTCTCAATAAATTCCAAAAAATGTAATACAAACCACCCTTACTGACTAAATACAATAAAGCTAGAAATTAATAAGAAAATAAAAAACAAATAGGCACTTCCACCTGGAAAAACAAAACCATCTATTAAGCAACTCTTGGGTCAAAGGGGAAATAAACACAATTGCATAATTTAAAAAATTATAAGAAAAACTTAGTGTATCAGACTCTATGGGATACAGCTAAAATAAAACTCAAAGTCATACCATTATTTACCTATATCACCAGAAATGGAAATAACTGCACTATATATAGAAATCAGAAAGCTATATAAAATAACAATTGAAACCAAAAGTAATTAATAAAAATGTATATTATCCTAGAGATAAGGCGAGATGATACATACCTCTTCCCATGCCTGGGTGCTATTGAAAAAGCCCCCAAAATATCTGTGCATTGAAGATTTGGTACAGTTTGTGGGAGGGGGGTACATATGTCTGGTTACTTTTTCAATTTCTTTTGTAGATAATATTGATGTATTCAATTTTCTACATTTTCTGTAGTCAGTTGTGTGAAACATTCAGACTTTTGTAAAAACCTGTTCATTTAATCAAAACTTTAAAGTTTAAAATTTATTGGTCCAAAGTTACACATTGTAGCATCTTAAGAAATTGGCATCGTGAATGCAGTTGTGTGGTTTTATGATTTCTATGGTTCTTTGTCTCCTTTGTTTTTACTTGAGCAGACTTAACAATTCTTGCTGGTCTTTTCTAAGAATGCTTTTGTCTTCGTTGTTCAAAGTAACTTTTAGTGTTGACGTATTTTAAATTTTCATAATTACTTCTTAACTTTCTCATTCTTTTCATATTGTGAAAATTACATACAGAAAAGTGGGAAAGAAACCCACATAAAGGGATCTACACTGTAACAAGCTAGTAACTGGAACCATAACAGCACCCAGAATTTTCTATACATTCTTTCAGAACTCAGCCCCTTCCTCCCTCCAGAGGTAACTACTTTCCTGACTTTTGTGATAATAGTTTCCTTGTCTATGTTTGCATCCAGAGTTTAGTTTTTCCTGATGTTGATATTTTGGACAGGAATCATACTGAATATCTTCTCCTCCTGCCCCCTTGCTGCTTTCCTCAATAATAGATGTGGAATATATTCATGTTTGGGTATGTAGCTATTGCTGGCTCCTACTGATACTATGATACTATAATCACTTTATTCTGATACTATGTCATCCTTTACTGTATAAATGGCAAGTTGTTTTGCTGTTCTGTTGATGGACATTTGGCCTGTTTTATATTTTGGCTACTAAAAATAGTACAACTGTGCACAGCCTTGCCCTTTGTCCTGGTGTATGTGTACACACATTTCTCTAGGGTGTATATCGAAGAATAGGATTGCTGGATCATGGGGCATTGTTTATATTTGAATTTACTAAATGGTGCCAAATTGGTTTTTAATTACACCCCAACATGGATAGGCCCCAGGTCCTGGTCCTCTTGCCTTAGAAGGCGACTCAAAACTGTCAGACTTCTTAGGGTAAAAGTAATCTTGGTGCTTTTGGGCTCAGCTCACCTCTCTGAGTTCTCTCTTTTTCTTCGATTTAGCACTGATAATTTCCTTACAATATTGATCACTTTTTCATGCATTTAAGGAATATTAAAGTTATCCATTATTTTTAGTTATTTTTAGTGGAAGGCTTGGTACAAAATAGCATAGTACGTAATATTAGAAATGTGAGCCTTTGTTTTTATCATTATTAACTACTTCTTTATATTTACTTGAGATTTTTTGAGGGTTATTTTTCTAACTCCTTGACTTGAATGCTTAGCTAATTTACTTTCA